ACTTGAAAAAAAAAATCTGTCTCTACAAACCAGAGGTTGGCTTTCCGAAAAACTACGCTAAACTCTGGTGCAGTGTTTTCAAAAGCAGATCCTCTGGCAGGATATCAATATGGATAGCTGCACATCTGGAATCTCTCTAAAAAGGGTGAACCTTCTTCCCAAGAGAGTACATTTTCAAATGAGTTCCTGGTTTTTCTCCTGAAATTATGACTTCCAGGGCCAGACGCGAGAAGGGTCTTTCCAAGACTATAACTGCCAAGGGGAAAAACAAGCCATTTCCCCACCACCAGCACTTTCTGCAAGGAGATCTAGTCCAGCTGCCTGCTCAAGCAGGAGACCCTATTAAATTCATTTTAGACAAATGGATGTCCCATCCCTTCTTCAAAGCCTCCAGTGATGAAGCGCCCACAACGTCTGGAGGCAGGTTGTTCCACTGGCTAATTGTTCTCACTGTCAGGAAATTTCTCCTTGGGTCGTCCCGGGTTGATGCTTTGGAGCATACGTCGACCCCCTCCCCTCTTTTTTTTGCAACAGCCCCTTAAGATACTGGAACACTGCTATCATGTCCCCCCACCCCTAGCCCTTATTTTCAATTTAAGTAGACCTACCCAGTTCCTACCGCCGCTCTTTGTGTGCTTTCGCCTCCGGGGCCCCCCTAATCATCTTTGTTGCTCTTCTCTGCCCTCTTTCTGGAGTCTCAACCTCTTTGAAATATTGGGGGGGACCCAAGACAGTATGGCGTAGTGGTTAGAGCGCCAGGCCTTGCTCGGATCAGCGCGATGTTCACCATGCAGCCTGCAGTTTGGAATGTGGCTGCTTGGAAGAGAAAGCAGTTGCTTTTTCTTCCGAATTTCTTCAGAGTTGAGCAAATTATCTTGAGCTTTTCGCTTTCTGCCAGCAATCTGCCCTCTGCACAAAAATGGCTTGGCTCTAGATTTCTTCTTCTCCCTTCCTCAGGTTTTTGGATAGCTGATGAACCAAAATGGGGGTGGGGGGTTCTCCTTGGAAACCCCGGATCACCTCGTCTCTGTGGCGATTCTCCAGCCAGCAGAAGGAATAATCCTGGGCTTGTAAATCCCAGGATGGGAACACGGATGGACTTTTCCCTGAAACGAGTGGGCGCTATAAAACCTTGGCATTTTTCATCCTGGAAGCATCACGGTGTTCTGCCTTCGACAGCCTGGACAAGCTCGCTGAATTAAATGCCTCCTTGCACCACGAGGTCCCACCCAATGCAGAAAGTGTGTTTGCTTTAGGGGGTGGAAATACATTTTTTTCCTCTCTCTCTCTCTCTCTTTTTTTTTCATTTTGGAGGAACCGCTCAAGGCTCTCTCCAGCCAGCCAGCTCGCCGTTTGATTGCCCGGGAGCCTGCAGCTTCGGATACGATGGAGAAGAGTTGCCAGTGTAGGGTGGAAGTGAGACCCCCCAAGATGGAAAGAACTGTGCTGGGAAAGGGGTGGGGGTGGGGCAGTGGTGGGATTCAAATATGTGAACAACCAGATCACGTGAAGTGTTCATACCACTTTACAAGGCCTTGGTAAGGCCGCACTTGGAATACGGCATCCAGTTTATTATAATAATAAAGTTGGAAGGGACCTTGGAGTTCTTCTAGTCCAAGCCCCTGCTCAGGCAGGAAACCCTATACCATTTCAGACAAATGGCTCTCCAATCTCTTAAAAACCTCCAGTGTTGTAGTATTCACTGCTTCTGGAGGCAGGTAGTTCCACTGGTTAATTGTCCTCACTGTCAATAAATTTATTCTTAGTTCTAGGTTGCTTCTCTCCTTGATTGGTTTCCACCCGTTGCTTCTTGTCCTGCCTTCAGGGGCTTTGGAGAATAGCTTGACTCCTTCTTCTTTGGGGCAGCCCCTGAGATACTGAAAGACTGCTATCCTGTCCCCCCCTCGTCCTTCTCTTCCTTAAACTAGACAGACCCAATTCCAGCAACCGTTCCTTCTATGTTTCAGCCTCCAGTCCCCTGATCATCTTTGTTGCTCTTCTCTGCACTCTTTCTAGAGTCTCAGCATCTTTTTTACATCGTGGTGACCGAAACTGGATGCAGCATTCCAAGTGTGGCCTTACCAAGGGCACTTACCTTCCTTGTGGCAGCCCCTCAAATACTGGAATACTGCTATCATGTCCCCCCCCCCCAGTCCTTCTTTTCTCTAGACTAGCCAATACCCCAAATATCCAAAAGAAGATTGGATTTGTTGCCGGTTCTCTGCTCCCAATACTTCTTAGTATTTGATCCCTGGAGGCTGGAGCTAAATTGAGAAGCCGGCAGATGCCGAAGCCGCAATGCTGAAGACCAAATGAGAAATCCCCACTGTGGACAACACTGCAAATAAATTTTCTCTCGTTCCCTCTGCCTTGATACGTCCGTTTGGGAAAAAACCCTTCCTCCCGGAACGTTTTTTGGGCTTCTTAGAAACAGCGAGATATCAACTCGCAGATGTGAAGCCCTTTTTTTTTTGTTTTTAATCCTGGGAGTTTTGCCAGGAAAAATCTTGAAAGGCTCTTAATAAAGAAGCAATGTTGGATGATGGCGAGAAAGGGTTATATTTATACACAACATGTCGCTCTTGGCATGTCTCTTTTTCTGTCTTCGTTTTCTTTCGATTGATCGGGGTTGGTTTGTTTTTCCCCTCCTCCCAGAAAAAAAAAAAAAAGACTTTTAATGAGGTGATTCAGGAGGCAAAAAAATCTTTGACGGATTGAGTTGGTTCACCGTAGGAGATTATAAATATAAAACCTAACGTGTCGTCTATGGAAGGATCTCTCTCTCTCGGAAGCGAAGGCGTGCCTACGAAAGAGGAAGACCTGATTTGGCGTCTCACCTTAAAAACCAGACTGGCATTAACAAATAGGATGGAACGAAATCCTCAGAGTTAATGTCTGTGCTACACAAGACAAGAAATCTTGCGTTTTGGGGAAACGGGGCCAAACAGGATCCACTCAAAGATCCTTTGCCAAACTTTAGAGGCATTAGTTTAGAGTAGGAAGGGACCTTGGTGGTCTTCTAGTCCAACCCCCTGTTCAAGCAGGAGACCCTATACCATGCTGGACAAATGGATCTCCAGTCTCTTCTTAAAAGCCTCCAGTGATGGAGCGCCCACAATTTCTGGTGGCAAGCTGTTCCAATGGTTAATTGTCCTCACTGTTAGGAAGTTTCTCCTTAATTCCAAGTTGCTTCTCTCCTTGATTAGTTTCCATCTGTTGTTTCTTGTCTTGCCTTTGTTGCTTTGGATGATGATGATGATGATGATGATGATGATGATGATGATGATAAAGTTGGAAGGGATCTTGGAGGTCATCTAATCCAACCCCCTGCTCAGGCAGGAAACCCTACACCATTTCGGACAAATGGCTGTCCAGTCTCTTCTTAAAAACTTCCAATGTTGGAGCATTCACCGCTTCTGGAGGCAGGTTGTTCCACTGGTTAATTGTTCTAACTGTCAGGAAGTTTCTCCTTAGTTCTAGGTTCTTTGGAGAATAGGTTGACCCCCCCTCTTCTTTGGGGCAGCCCCTCAAATACTGGAATACTGCTATCATGTCCCCCCCAGTCCTTCTTTTCATTAGACTACACATACCCAATTCCTGCAACCATTTTTTTTATATTTTACCTCCAGGCCCCTAATCATCTTTGTTGCTCTTCTCTGCGCTCTTCTCTGCACCCATCATCCCCAGCTGTGTTGGCCGGGACTCGCAGGCACTGTAGCCCAGCACCAAATCAGAAGAAGCTACGGCCGGACACACACGGATGCTATGCCGTGTTAGGTTGAGCTTTGAAATCCCGTATATTAACCGGAGTGAAAGGGAGAGATTGCAATCTGAAATACTTCCCGTGGTTCAGTTAAATTTGAAAAGCCGTTTTAGTAATTACAAAATCTATGCCTGGTTAAGATGTTGGCTTTGTATGGATTTTTTTTCCCCCTTCTCCTCAAGCTTAGAGGGTTTGTTTTGGTTTTGAAGCACGAGTAGTTCCATAAAGCTAGCTGGAGATACGGGTTTATTTTTTTTATTTTTCTGATCAAGGAGAATATGTGTAGCTCTCGGTTGAACTGTGGGCTCCTTGGTGCTCTCCGAGCTTTGCTGTTTTCGTGCAGACGTTTCATTACCCAGCTAGGGAATACCATCAGTGCTAGAAGGGAGTGGGGTTTGCAGAGTGGAGGAGGAGGAGGAGGAGTATGGGGTCCTTGGTGCTCTCTGAGCTTGGTGGTTTTCTTACAGACATTTCATGACCCAACTAGGTAACATCATCCATGCTAGAAGGAAATGGGGTTTGCAGAATGATGGAGGAGGAGGAGGAGGAGGATGATTATGGGGTCCTTGGTGCTCTCTGAGCTGGGTGGTTTTCTTGCAGACGTTTCATGACCCAACTAAGTAACATCCTCAGTGCTAGAAGGGAGTGAGGTTTGCAGAATGGAGGAGGAGGAGGATTATGGGGTCCTCGGGGCTCTCTGAGCTTCGCTGTTTTTGTGCAGACGTTTCATTACCCAGCTAGGTAATATCATCCGTGCTAGAATGGAGTGGGGTTTGCAGAGAGGAGGAGGAAGAGGATTATGGGGTCCTTGGTGCTCTCTGAGCTGGGTGGTTTTCTTGCAGACGTTTCATGACCCAGCTAGGTAACACCATCTGTGCTAGAAGGGAGTGGGGTTTGCAGAATGGAGAAGGAGGAGGAGGATTATGGGGTCCTTGGTGCTCTCTGAGCTGGGTGGTTTTCTTGCAGACGTTTCATGACCCAACTAGGTAACACCATCAGTGCTAGAAGGAAGTGGGTTTGCACTGACGATGCTCCCTAGTTTGGGTAATGAACTGTCTGCAAAAAAAACCACCAAGCTCAGAGAACCCAGGACCCTTCAGATTTTTTTCTGGCTGGTGTCAGAAAGAGCGATCCATTTTTTAAGCGGTTCTTTGTGTTGTTAGCGGATCAACAGTCCCGTTCCTTGTCTCCAGTTCTGTTCAGATCTCTTGATCCCCCCTCTCTTCTCTCTCCAGGGATGGACACGGAGGATGAAGCTTTATTGCAAGATGTCTGTGCCCATGAAGACGAGGAGGGGGCTTGTGGCCCCGGCATGAAAACCGGGGGGTCCCGCCTCTGCGGGAAATGCCAGTGGGACCCCAGGCCCCGGGCCACCTTCGTGACGCTCCCGTCCTCGGATTTTTGGACCGTGGTAGGCTGGGTCTTCACCAACCCTTATTCCGCCAGCCTCATCCTCTTCTTGGGATGCGCCATTCCCGCCGGCTTGGCCCTCACCATGTTCCTCCACTACCCTGCTCTGGACATCGACATCTCGTACAACGCCTTTGAGATCCGCAACCACGAGTCCTCGCAGCGCTTCGACGCCCTCACCCTGGCCCTCAAGTCCCAGTTCGGCCTGTGGGGACGCAGCCGCCGAGACCTGGCCGACTTCAGCTCGGAGACCTTGCGCAGGCTGATTTTTGAGAAGCTACAGCACCTCCAGCGCAATGCCACGCGGCTGGGTGGGCCTAATCTCTCCCCGAGACGGCGGAGAGATACACGCCGGAGGGATCAGGCCGGCCCAGCCAACCACACCTCCCACCGGGCCCGAAGCCCCCTCCCTCGGTGGGAGTATCCGAGCGCGGCCGTCAGCGCCAACACCCAGACTCACGCCCACTGGCGCATTGAACTCATCTTCCTGGCTCGGGGAGACGCCGAGAAGAATATCTTCACCTCCGAGCGGCTGCTGACGATCCACGAGGTGGAGCGTAAAATTATGGACCATCCTCACTTCCAGGAGTTTTGCTGGAAGCCTCACGAGGTCCTCAAAGACCTCCCGTTGGGCGCCTACTCCTACTGCTCCCCTCCCAGCTCCCTCATGACTTATTTCTTCCCCACAGAGAGGGGGGGCAAGATATACTACGATGGCCTCGGACAAGAGCTCGCCGACATCCAAGGTGAGCCATGAGGGTGGTGGGATGGGTGGGGATCGGTCCGAGTTAGGACAAGGAGTAGCAATAGCGCTTAGAGTTACATACCAGTTCATTGTGCTTTACAGCCCTCTCTAAGCGGTTTACAGAGTCAGCCTGTTGCCCCCCAACAATCTGGGTCCTCGTTTTACCGAGCTCGGAAGGACGGAAGGCCGAGTCGACCTTGAGCCAGTCAGGATCGAACTGCCAAACTGCAGGCAGAATTAGCCTGCAGTACTGCATTCTAACCACTGAATCATAGCAATAGCAATAGTATTTAGAATTATACACAGTGCTTTACAGCCCTCTCTAAGCAGTTGACAGAGTCGGCCGACCCCAACAATCTGGGTCCTCATTTTACCGACCTCGGAAGGATGGAAGGCTGAGTTGACCTTGAGCCGGTCAGGATTGAACTCTTGGCAGTGAGCAGAGTTAGCCTGCAATGCTGCATTCTAAGTACCGGGCCACCAGGGCTCATATTTTGTAACGGAACTAAAATATGTAAATCAATAAAAAAAATAGCACTAGCATCAGCACTTAGACTTATATACCGCTTCACGATGCTTTACAGCCCTCTCTAAGCAGTTTACAGAGTCAGCATATTTGGCCCCCCACAATCTGGGTCCTCATTTTACTGACCTCGGAAGGATGGAAGGCTGAGTCGCCCTTGAGCCAGTCAGGATCGAACTGCTGGCAGTGGGCAGAGTCTGCCTGCAATGCTGCATTCTAACCACTGCACTACCACGGCTTCTTTCTCCTTATTTCCCTTCTCATTTTTTCCCTTCCTTCCTTCCTTCCTTCCTTCCTTCCTTCCTTCCTTCCTTCCTTCCTTACTTACTTACTTACTTACTTACTTACTTACTTAGCAATAAGACTTATATACCGCTTCACGGTGCTTTACAGCCCTCTCTAAGCAGTTTACAGAGTCAGCATATTTGCCCCCAACAATCTGGGTCCTCATTTTACTGACCTCGGAAGGATGGAAGGCTGAGTCGCCCTTGAGCCGGTCAGGATCGAACTGCTGACAGTGGGCAGAGTCTGCCTGCAATGCTGCATCCTAACCACTGCTCCACCAGGACTCTTTTAGTAGAGTCTCCAGAGCTCATGCCTATCCCACGTCTGTTAAATAATTGACCCTTTTGTGGCTAAAAGCGCTGGTGTCAATAAAGGAAAGTGGGAGGAGGAGGAGGAGGAGGAGGAGGAGGAGGAGGAGGAGGAGGAGGAGGAGGAGGAAAAAAGAAAGCAAGCCACTCTGATACTCTCCAGCCCCAGTGTTTTCATGCTCTGTAGAGCATGCTGGGAATCATACTGTAGCGTGGAGGATACTGGACTAGCAAGGCCGAGCAAAGGAGGACATCCAGTGGTGGGATTCAGCCGTTTTGCACCTGTTCGGCAGAACCGGTAGCTAATTTTTGGTTGCCCAGGCCCAGGATGGACTTCCGGAAGTGGCATCCATGCAGAGAACCAGTTATTCGCCTATTTGAATCCCACCACTGAGGACGTCCCCTTCGGACGAGGCTTCCTCCCCAGACTGCTAAGAAGAAATTTCCCGACAGTTGGAGCCAATGGAACGCCTTGCCTCCAGAAGTTGTGGCGTTCCAACATTGGGGGCTTTTAAGGAGAGATTGGGCAACCCTTCGTCCGAAATGGAATTTGGCTTTTCTGCCTGAGCAGGGGGTTGGACTAGAAGACCTCCAAGGTCCCTTCTGTTATTCTGTCACGCTGCTGTTTCCCGCAGGGTCTCTCGAGCTGGCGATGACCCACCCGGAGTTTTACTGGTACGTGGACGAGGGTCTCTCGGCCGAGAACAAGAAGAGCTCTCTCTTGCGTAGCGAAGTCCTCTTTGGCGCGCCCTTGCCCAGCTACTATTCCATGGATGACCGCTGGGAAGAACAATGCCGGAAGTTTCAAAACTTCGTGGTCACCTACGTGGCCTTGCTGGCCAAGGAGTCTACCAGGTGAGCACGGGGGTCTCTGCCCTGCCCCATCCCTGCCTGAATATTCTTCCATTGTGCAGAGGTGGGTGAACCTTCTGCCCTCTTTTCCTGTAGAAAGTTAGCCCCTCAGGGCAACGTCAAAGTGGAGTTGTGGCTACGGGGAGCTGAGGTCGATAGTTGCAGGACAGGCGGGTCAGAATAAAGATGGGAGTCAACTTAACCGTCGCGAAATAGTGAAAGGGCCAATGATAGCGTGGGCACGAAATGTGGGACGAAATATAAAACCGGAAGAATGGGAAAGATTATGGAACAGAAATTGCAAACTGACATGGTCAACTGCATATATAGGGAAAATCAATACAAAATGTTCTATAGATGGCATTTAGCACCGGCGAGATTGGCCAAAATATACAAAAATATGAATCCGGCATGTTGGAAATGCAAAAATAAGGAAGGAACATTTTATCACATGTGATGGCTGTGCCCCAAAGCAAACGGATAAGGGAACTGGATACAGGAGATAAGTAAGATGCAAATTGAACTCAAACCGGAACTATTTCTTTTGGGTATAATAAATTCAAAGATGGAAAAACAACTCCAATGCATTATTATACACATTTTAACAGCAGCCCGCCTAGTATATGCTCAGTGTTGAAAACATACCTACAAATGATATGATCATACACAAAATTCTAGAATGCGCGGAAATGAACAAACTTACGCTAGAATTAAAAGACAAGGAGGCCACAGAATTTGATGAAATATGGAACAAATGTTATCATTGGCTAGAACGGAGAAAGAAAAAGATATGATTACTGATGTAAATAAATTGTAAATAATATATATGAGATTTATAACACAGCTCTGTTAAAGGGAAAAAAATGTATTTTTTTTTTCATTTTTGTTTTTATTTTTTGTTATATAGCGAAAAAAGAATAAATAAAAATTAAAAAAAAAAGTTAGCTTCTCAGGGCAACATCAAGGTGGACTTCTGGCTACGGGGAGCTGAGGTCGTTGGCTACAGGACAGGCGGGTCAGAATAAAGATGGGAGTCAACTTAACCGTTGCGACGGCTGGGCCAGGAAGCCTTGCCGAGCAAGCTTTCTGCACGCAAGGCCTTCTGTAGCCGCAACCCCAAAGGATCCTGCTTGAAGGCGCTCTCTTCCACTGCGCTGAAAAGTAAAACCGGGGCTCACGCTTTACTGCAGGGATGGACCCCGCAAGATTCGGCTCGGATGAGTTCTCGGGGGTTCAGGGGCCAGCTGTGAACCCAGCCAGGGTTTGGTCATGTCGCGTGAATGCAAGGATTAAACCAGCATTCAGAGTTAAGCGTCTGATGCAGCCATCCCTAATCTTTCCAGCTTGGCAGACCTGCACGGGTGTATGAGTGACAGGTGCACGTCTAACAGCTCCGTTTGTGCAAGGGGCAGGCGCGCACACCCTCCACTCGTACAAATGGAGCTTTCGCACGAGCTTTGCCTATTTCTCCCACAGGGCCCGGTTCCGAACAGGCCGTGTCCCGGTAGTGGGCTACAGCCTGGGGGTTGGAGATCCCTGGTCTGATGCATTTCAGATTTCTCTCTCTCTCTCTCTCTCTCTCTCTCTCTCTCTCTCTCTCTCTCTCTCTCTCTCTCTCTCTCTCTCTCTCTCTCTCTCTCTCTCTCTCTCTCTCTCTCTCTCTCTCTCTCTCTCTCTCTCCCGTTTGAGGCTCTTGGCTCAAATGGCCTTGGAAGGGCAGGAGAGAAAAGAGAGAGAAGGAGAGAGAGAAAAATGAAAGAGAGAGAAATGAGAAAGAAATAAAGGATGAGAAATGAAAGAGAAAAAAATGAAAGAAATGAAAGAGAGAAAAATGAGAGAGAAATGAAAGTGAAATGAAAGAGGGAAATGAGAGAAATGAAAGAGAAAAAAATGAAAGAGAAATGAAAGAGAAAAATGAAAGAAAAATGAGAGAAATGAAAGAAATGAAAGAGAGAGAAATGAGAGAGAAATGAAAGAGAGAAAAATGAAAGAGAGAAATGAAAGAGAAAGAAATGAAAGAGAGATTAAAGAGAGAGAAATGAAAGAAAAATGAGAGAAATGAAAGAGTAAAATGAAAGAAAAATGAAAGAAATGAGAAATGAAAGAAAAATGAAAGAGAAATGAAAGAGAGAAAGAGATGAAAGAGAGAGAAATGAAAGAGAGAAATGAGAGAAATGAAAGAGAAAAATGAAAGAGAAATGAAAAAAAATGAAAGAGAGAAATGAAAGAGAAAGAGAAAAATGAAAGAGAGAGAAATGAAAGAGAAAAATGAAAGAGAGAAATGCGAGAGAGAAAGAAATGAAAGAGAGAAATGAGAGAAAGAGAAATGAAAGAGAGAGAGAGACCTCCAGGAGTCAGAGCAGGAAGACCCCCCCCCAGCTCATCTCCCCTGCTGTGAGGGCTTAATTGCTTCCCTCATTTAATTAACTTTCTCAGACCCCCCTCTCTTCCCCCTCCTAAGGAGCCCGGCTAGTTCCTGCAGCTTTGGACACGGGCGGCTGCGCTTCCTAAAAATACCGAATGATTATCCTTCTTTACTTTTCTTCTTTCAAATAATCAGAGTTTAGGGTTCCCTGGAGAACGGCAGCCGAGGGCTGGAGCACCGGATGGAGGAGGGGAACGTGATCCCTGCACTGCGATATTTTCCCTTTTTTGGGAACGACGCAACTCCGGTGGCTTGGGAGCCGTGATCTATGGCTTAGCGCGTTGTTCTTTATTTAGCCTTCCGTGGTTTCAAATCCCGCCCCGGGCTTAATTTATTACACAAAGAGGGCTGTGGAGCACGGTGAAGCGGTATATAAGTCTAAGTGCAGTGCAATTGCTATTTTTCCTCCTTCCTTCCTTCCTTCCTTCCTTCCTTCCTTCCTTCCTTCCTTCCTTCCTTCCTTCCTTCCTTTCATCCATGATAGGCAATGGTTAGAATGCAGCATTGCAGGCTAACTCTGCCCACTGCTAGGAGTTCGATCCTGACTGGCTCAAGATCGACTTGGCCTTCCATCCTTCCGAGGTCGATAAAATGAGGACCCAGATTGAGGGGGGCCAAATATGCTGACTCTGTAAACTGCTTAGAGAGGGCTGTAAAGCAGTGAAGTGGTATATAAGTCTTATTGCTTGGGAAGGAAGGAAGGAAGGAAGAAAGGAAGGAAGGAAGGAAGGAAGGAAGGAAGGAAAAATGAGAAGGAAGGGAAATAAGGAGAAGGAAGAAAGGAAGCCATGGTGATGCGGTGGTTAGAATGCAGCATTGCAGGCTAACTCTGCCCACTGCTAGGAGTTCGATCCTGACTGGCTCAAGATCGACTCGGCCTTCCATCCTTCCGAGGTCGGTAAAATGAGGACCCAGATTGTTGGGGGGGCCAAATATGCTGACTCTGTAAACCGCTTAGAGAGGGCTGTAAAGCCCTGTGACACGGTACATAAGTGGCCATTGCTATTGTAAGTGGAAGACTGCCGGTACTTCAGCTTAACCAGGTTAAGTGTGTTGGCTCAACCTCCCCCGCTTTCTCGGCAGCAAGGTCCAGGTGCTCTACGGCGGGACGGACCTGTTTGATTACGAAGTGAGGAAGATTTTCAAGAACGACATGCTGCTCGCCTTCATCAGCAGCTCCTGCATTGCGGTACTGGTCTACCTCCTGGCGTCCTGCTCAGGTAAGGAGAACGGTCCCTCCTTTGCTCCTGGGACCCCCTCCCACCTGAGGCCAGAGGGGTCTCCCCACCCTTTGAGCCCTCAGAGGGGCTGTGGACCCCCAGCATTGGGGGGATCCTGGCTTGGATTGGGGCCTGGAAAAAAGATCCTGTTCTTTTTATTTCCCCCCCCCCCTTTGTTGGATCGCTGTCACTCAATCAAACGATGATAGGAGACAGGCAGCTGTGCCAGTTCTGTAAATGCAGGCAGTTCTCCACTTATAAAATTTCATTTGGTGACCGGTCAAAGTTATAACGGCAATGAAAAAAAGCGACTTATCGCCATTTTCCCCACTTAACGACCCTTGCAGCATCAATTCGGCAACTGACTCGTATTTACGACAGTTGCAGAGTCCTGGGGTCACGTGACCCCCTCTTGGGACCTTCCAACGAGCAAAGTCAATGGAGAAGCCATTGGAGAAGCCATTGGAGAAGCAAAGAAGCCATTGGAGAAGCCATTGGAGAAGCCATTGGAGAAGCAAAGTCAATGGAGAAGCCATTGGAGAAGCCAGTCCTAAGTTTTTCCTCCATGTTGTACTGACGTCTCTGTAACATTAATAAATGCTTTTAGGAGTAAAAATGCCTGAAAGTCCTTTTAAGTGTTTCGTTAATCAGACACATGGCACCAGATTTGCCTCACCTCCCTGTTACTAACTTAAAGACTGCCTTTGATTGCTCATAGCTGGAGCAAGGAAGGTTGTAAAAACGAGGCCAAATTCACTTAACCCCTGCCTCGCTTAGCAATGGAAATCTTGGGTCTCAGTTGCGGTCGTAAAGCGAGGACGGCCTGTGGATCCACCAAACAGGGTGTTTCAGGGGATGGAAAGGCTGAACGCCAGCAGGAGAAATCAGACTTCCTCTTTTCTTCTCCTCCAGTCTTCCTGTCCTTTTTCGGCATTGCCAGCATCGGCATCAGTTGCCTGGTGGCCCTCTTCCTTTACCACATTGTCTTCGGGATCCAGTACCTGGGCATCCTGAACGGAGTGGCGGCCTTCGTGATCGTGGGCATTGGTAAGAGGACTGAACCGGGTCAGCAGCCGTTCTCCCTCCCCCAGACGCCTCCTCACCCTGTCCCTCTTCTCTGTGCCATCTGCCAGGGGTGGACGACGTCTTCGTATTCGTCAACACCTATCGGCAGGCCACGCACCTGAAGGACCTCAACCTCAGGATGATCCACACCGTCCAGACGGCCGGCAAAGCCACCTTTTTCACCTCCTTGACCACGGCGGCTGCGTACGCCGCCAACATATTCTCACAGGTAAACCACGCTTTCCCACCCGTGTCGGTCCATGGCTCACCCACGCCAGAAGTCAGCTTTCCACTGTCGCTGCCTGCTGTATTCTAAAGCAGAGGTCCTGAACCCACTAACGGCCCGTGGCGTGAGTGGCTGGCCGGTGTGCCCACCTATGTGCACTCCCTCACTCCCCGTCACGCTAGTGTCACCATGAGCGTCGCACAGGTGCTAGCAGCCCCATTTGCGGCGCGCACACGCTCTTGGCCCCATTTGCATGTGTGTGTGCGTGGCTAAAGGCCCCAGCCTCTCCCTTTCCCACCAGGCCACTAACCCAGAAAGCTTGGGAAAGTGTTCTAGAGGCTTCTTTACAGCAGTTAGAAGTACAATTCTACATTTACCTGTTTCTCTAAAGCGACATTTCCCAACCTGGTGACTTTAAGATGGGTGGACTTCAAGTCCCAGAATTCCCCAGCCAGCCAAGCTTTCCCACCTGTATCCGTCAATGGGTCAAGGCCATAAGCCAGCTTTCCACTGCCTGCTGTATTATAAAGGATTCCAAGCTTCTTTACAGTAGTTAAAAGTACAATTCTAGATTTACCTCTTTCTCTAAAGCAGGGGTCTTCAAACTTGGCCCTTTGATGACTGGTGGACTTCAACTCCCAGAATTCCTCGCTGGCTGAGCAATTCTGGGAGTTGAAGTCCACCAGTCATCAAAGGGCCACGTTTGAAGACCCCTGCTCTAAAGCAATGTTTCCCAACCTTGGCGACTTTAAGATGGGTGGGCTTCGACTCCCAGAATTCCCCAGCCAGCCTGAGAATTGAACTCCACCCATCTTAAAGTCATCAAGTTTGGGAAAACACTATTTTAAAGTGATGTCATGACTCTCTTCCTTCTATATTCTGTTCTATCTAATTGTCAAACCATCAATCTTTTTTTTTCTTTTTTTACGCCACAAAATCCATAAAGGGTTCCATTCTGAGTTTAAATAAAAAAATCCAAGAAGTGCTTTTTTTTTAATTTTTAAATTCTTGGACCTCCAGGAGATGGTTTCCTGTCTTCTCCCCTGCAGATCCCAGCTGTCCATGACTTTGGTCTCTTCATGTCCCTGATTGTCTCCTGTTGCTGGGTGGGGGTCCTTTTCACCATGCCAGCTGCTCTGGGGATTTGGTCTCTCTACTGGTCCTCGCTGGAAAACACCTGTCAGGCCAGGTAAAGTCAATTGAATCTATTTTTATTTTTATTTTAAAAAAAACC